ACAGATTAAGGGTCCAGATAAATTTGTAATATTGACTTTTACTATAAGATTTTGGAATTAACTGTAAAAAATAAACAACTTCTCATGGGAAGTGGACTTATTCTGGCTATCCTGGTCATAACAAAAAATAAGTGATATTTTAGAAACTGGACACTAGAGGGGACTAAAGATTTTAAGCAGAAGAAAAAAAATACAAGCCTGATTTCAGTTAATACTGGGACTGACAAAGTGATATAAGACATTATAACACTGGAAATATTAAAGGATATCTTTGAAAAATGGAACCAGAAGTTAATAACTACAATATCAACACTGTCAGTAATGACGTTTGCTTCAATGGATAGTCTATGTTTAAAATATGTTAATGATGGAATGAGAGATGTGGAACAAATTTTATCTGACAAGATAAAGTACAGAATGTTTAACTGCAAATGACAGGCCAAGGGAATGATTTGAAAAGGGATGCTTTACTGGATATACAAAAGAAACTGGCTGAAGTTTTAAAAATTAAAAGGGAAATACAAATGATAAACGAAGAGAATGACCTCAAAAATGTTTCCTTATTGGACCTACAAAAGAGGCTTGTTAAAACCTTGAAGAAATCTGTGTGATGGGATAAAGAAGAATTGAAGAGAAATCAAATTCTACAATATTTGAAATTAAAGATTAAGACTGTTAGAAGTAAAAGGAAGGTATATAAAATTGGTTTATTTGATCAAAATTAAAATAAGACATTTTTTGCAATGTTCTGACAACCCTTTATGGACTTTTTGCTGACACCAGGATGGAAAAGTTGATGTTTTATGGATTTGCTTAGAGATAAGGGATGGGATATGGGATGAAGAGATATCTGTTTGTTACCTTATAGTGGGTGAAGAGGTATTACATTTGTTTATACTTGTGATGAAGGTTGGAAGTCACTTTTTTATATATTTCTTTTTCTTTATTATATTCTTTCTTTCTTGCATTTTTTATTCTTTCTTTCCATTCTCTTCTCTTTCTCTAAGTTTAGTTTGTATTAGGTTTTACAATTGTAATTAAAATTCTTAATAAAAATATATTTTTTTAAAAGAAATGCTAAGTCAAAACATTTAAAGGCGTAAGCTAAAAAAAAGAAAAGTAAAAATAGCTAAATGTAATTTATAGCAACACAATTCTATACCTTTCTACCCTTGTAAGCCATCCTTGTTTTCACCACCACCATATACCACTTCACACATTGCTGTTTTTTCCTTATATTTCTCACCTCTTTCTATTTGAAGATCTCATTCATAGGTTTCCAACCATAAGTTTCTCAGTCTTCCCCTTCTGGAACCACTCACTCATCCTTCATATATTTGCTGAGCAACTGTTTCTTTTTTATTGTCTCTTTTGAATAGTGTGTAGATGTTGTTTATCTCTATGTGCCTGTTGATGGCTACCTTGTCTGGATACCAAGCTTCCAGGAATTCCCT